CCCCGGCCGCTCGCCCCCGGCGCCGCCGCCCCCGAAAGCCTCCGACGAGACGCGGGGAAGCGAGCCCCCGGGACCGGCTCCCGGGCTCCCCGGCATTTGCATTTCTTATGTAATGCACTGCAAGTTTCCCGGTTGGAGCCCTTTGGAATCGGGGCGCATGATCACCAAGCGGGCAGAGAACGGGGACCCACGGCTCGGCCGGTGCCCCGGGGGGACCTGACGCTGGGCTCTGACCCTGCCTTCTGAGGACGGGGGAGGGGTGGGGATTAAATGACTCAGCCTAGAGGTGCCGGGCTGCTCCCCCGTCCGGGCTTCCCCTAGGCATAAGTAGTCCCTGCTCCAGGATCCCCAGGGGCTGGAGGCGTTGCGAGCAGACCGGGGAAGAGTTACGGGGGGAGGGAGGCGGGGGCGCCGGGGAGGGGGCCGCTGGTACTTTGGCAAAGGTGATGGGGTGGCGAACGCGGTGGGGTGGCGAGCGCTGTGCAAGCTAACCACAAAGTCTGCAGCTCCGGCAGCACAAGTAAGGAGAGCTCGGGGCTCCTTCTCCTGCCACCTGCCCAAAGCTCCCGCTGCCTGGGGCACAGCCTCAGCGTAGCCCTGTGCTAGTCCACCAGACATCTGCAACCGAATGCATTTAGGGGAAAGGGGGGGACACAAGAAGAAGAAGAGGAGAAAAAAGAAGTTTCCTCCTCCCTCCTAGTGGAGGATGGATTGTGTCACAACCAAGAGATGCCGATCATGGTTTTCGGGTTCGCAGACGCGGATCCAGCAGAGGCTACTTGTTTATTCATGCAACACCTCTATGGGCAACACTGTCCCGGCTCCTTGTATGTTTCCCCTGCCTTCCTGCATAGCAGAACTGCAGAGCTAGCTCGATGAGCAACAGACAGGTTATTATGAGGAAAAACATAACATGATGCATGTTTCGCTTACCAGTTGGGTTCTTGTTTTTCTTAAGACTCTTGCCACAAAGACACTGCAGCATATGCGTTCCTTTGCTGAAAATGTTCCAAAGAAACCACATTGATTTGGGCGAAAAGCAATCCAGCAGCTTAGACACCCTGAGAAAGAAGAGATCCTTGTGGTTGCATAATAATAATTTGAAATCAGTTCTCCTGAAGAGGGGCACCGGTTTTACCATAGGAAAAACGATAATATTCCGGATCTTCTCCCAGTTTTTTCCCCTCACGTGGTATATTTCTTTGAGACTTCTCAGCGATTGTTTTTTCTCGGCCAGGGTGAATGATTTATCCCCCTTTTGCTCACCACTGGATTATTACCAAAGGGTTGGGAAAAAAATCCTTTTTCAGCATGAAGCCAAACAAAAAAGCAAAGAAATCCCAACTGAGATCAAAACTAATCAGGGAGAAAACCATAGCCTTTTACTTGATCGCTATGAGGATGGGTGGATCAGCAGGAGCGAAGCAGGATTCATCTTACTGAGAGAAGACTGCCATTGTGGAGCCCCTAGGAGAGAAGGAGGAAAAAAAAAAAGGAAAAAAAGAAAGAAAAGGAAAAGAAAGGAAAAGAAAAGAAAAGAAAAAAAGCCACCACACACACTCACACACCAATACCACCTCCGAGACTGACAGCCGAGGACAGAGCTTCGCTTCTCCAGTGTCGATTTTTTTTTTTTTTTTATAATCAATCTCCAGCGTTCAGTGGGATCGGATTGAACCTGCAGTTCTGAATCCCCACGAAGAAGAAAAGGTGCGAATCTAGGCGCCCCCTCCCCTGATCAGTCTCGTAGTAGGTGGAGAGCGCCACGAATCCCCTTCCTCCGGCCTCTCCTTCCTCCAGTTTCCAACCACCGTGAGCATGAGGAAAATCTCCTCTCCGGCTTCCTCGCCCAGCCTCGGATGTGAGTTACAGGCATTAGAGGGAGGAGGAGGAGGAGTTGAAGTTTGCATTGAAAAGACTGGCTTTCCATGACGTAGCCACGTGCTTTCAGACTCGTCACCAGCGAGGCTCCAGCCAGCCCGGGGAGGGCCGAGCACTGCAGTCTGCCGGCGGCTCCCGCTCTGCGCCCGCCCTGCCCGGCCCGGCCCGACCCGGTGCTGCCCGGCCCGCCAGCCCGGGTGCGACCCTCTCCCTCTCCCTCTCCCTCTCCGCCAGCCCCATCCGCCTGGGGCTTGCCAATCTAACAGCCTGCCCTGGAAAATTAACAATTATAATGAGGGATCCTTGGAAAATACAAGTGGGGAGTGGGGCGGGGTGTTGGGGGGTGGCCCAGAGTTTGGTACCACTCCACACAGGCGGAATGAGTGCCACTTCCCCATTTTCAAAGCAGCAGAGCAACTCAAACGTGAAGGAAGGCTTATGGGTTTCCCCTCACCCCCTTAAGTCTTATTTTTTGAATTCTACTGAAGGTTCTTTGAAAACTATTAACTAGGTAGCTGACAAGCATGTGCTTTTAGAAACAGCTTAGGAGAGGGCAACACTAAAATCTAGATGGCAGAATGTATTTTTGTAGGGAGGGTCAGAGGCGCATGATACAATGGATGCCTTTCTTGCACAGGTGACCCAGTGTCTTGAAAGTTTTTCTGTGGAGAAAGCACCCTGATTAAACCGCATCCTAATTCATTGCTTGTTTCTGCACCTCAATTAACATTAGCTCACCCTCGTTTAATTCTCATATCACCAACCCTGCGTGCTATCTCACCAAATCTGGCACATTTTCTTCTTTGCCTCAAGATCGAACCCTGTTCTCTACTCATCTAAAAAGTCAAAGAACTTGGGGCAGAACTGTTTACTTTATTTAGGGAAAGTTACAATGTAGGAAGTACTACAAACTATTACAAAGGATAATATAACAAACTCCTCCAGTGATCCTACCACTCAAAATGAATGAATTTAGCATTTTGTTATATTTGTGAGCTGCAATCAGAGAGTAAAATTGATCATTCTATCACTTTATGTAAATGATTAAGGTTGTGCCAGGTTCCATTTTAATAGGAAAATGGATATAAAAACTTTAATTTCAAGATATGCATTTAGAAGCTCCAGGTTAATTTTTAAAAATTAAAACCACTGCCTCTACTGTATGCTAGGTCAAACTGCCTCATAAATAATAGATGGAGATGTAGATTTATGTAGTTGAGGATTGAAGAGACTGCTTTTCTTTAAAAGCCCTAATTTCTTGATTATCAGTTATCAAAAAAATAAAAATGTAGTAAAATCTTTCCTACTAGCAAAATGTTCTCATAGCTAAGAGGGATTTCCAGAAGCTAAAATTTCCATCAACTTTCCTGACCTTTTGGGGAAACATCATTCAATTTAAACTACAAAAATGAACTTAAGACAAGTAAATTCCATGACAGAAAATTGGAAAGCTAAAAAGTGATGGATCCTATGTGTCAAATACACTGTGTCATATAGCTTAATGATATTACAAGATTAATTGCAGAAGATTAACTGCAGTCTAAAAATGTTTTGGAAGTAAAGAAAGAGGGAATACATGAAATGAATGCCAGATGACCTACCATAAAGAAGCAGACTGGAGAATAAAAAGTAGAGTTCTTTTTCAAAAAAGGAAAAGTGGGACAGCAATGCCAAATACTTAGAAAATAAATTTTGGTATCAACTAGGGACAGATAGCATATGTTGTTCCTATAACATTCTGTTGTCTTCTGGGAGGTTCCATAATATCAAAACATATTACCACTAAACAAATGTCAGAGATATTGTTGAATAAAAAATAGTCTTTTCCAAGGTCTTCTGAATTCACTAGGCTCTATGGTTCTGCAAACTACTTGCTGAGTTCCCTGAGGTATTTCACAAATAGAGTAAAATGTGAGGAGATGCACTGTAATTATTGAATCTCCTATGTGCTAAGTCTGTATAGAGAGTATTTCACAAGTTGGCTCCTCTTGAATTTCCACTGTACACTGGGGAAGTGAATTTGTTCCTTCGTAAAATAATAACTGCCCCAAAGCTATAGTTTACTTTGCTACCTATTGGCAGAAAACTTGTTACTTCTTTGTCCTGTTACCTGAGGAATAAAACAAAAAATAATTAACTGTGACTATCACTTTTGAGAATTTATACTGCTAGGCACTGTTTAGTTGTTTTTTGTATTTTCTACTGTTTAAAAAAACTTTTTTTAAAATAAAGAAAATTTTGATATTTCTGCTTTTCTTCTGTATAATTCCTGGTACTTTATTTACTTATATTACGTAGTCTATTATTTATGTTAATAAACAAATAGCAAATAAATATTTTTCCTTGGAAAAGAAGACTAAATCAACATGGGTTACTTTTGATCCAAAGGACCTATAATTTCTGATGGGCTCTGAGTTCAATCATTCTGCTAAATTTGTCGAGTACAAGACTCCATGTTGGATGCCAAGTCATGAGACTGAACCAGGTTTCCAATGATACAGTAAAGACCAAAGCTGGTCCCAAAGTTAAGCCAGGCTTGGGGGTACCTCGATATCAGATCATGGATAACTCAGAGATATTTCTTATGTTGACGTGAGTTCCAGATCATTATTGATTTGTGGAAGATATTAAAGTGTTTGCTTACCCTTAGCCCCTCTATATTCAAATCAATATTCTATGATGAAATGAAAACTAGTATAAAAGAAATGCAAGTTTTAAAATACATGTAAATAAAAATAAGATCAGGAAAACCTCACCAAAAATAAGAAATGGGCTAAGGAATTAGCTCAGTGACAGAGCACCTGCCTTGAATATATAAGGCCATGGGTTCAGTCCCCAGTACCATTAAATTTTTAAAAAGCTAAAAATTGACAGTAAAATCTGTCTTGGTACATTGGTTTAAAATATCTGTAAGATTATGTTTTCATACAGCTAAAAAAAACCCAGTACTCATAATCAAATTAATTTAAAAATTAAACTTACCTTCAGCATATCCTACCTAGTTAACAAGATGAAAATTATAAGAAGAATTTCATGGCACAGTAAAATGTACATTTTATTTTAATATAGAAAATGCGAACTTTCATGAAATTGGTCAACAACAATCTGCAAAACTATCTTAGAAATTTTGTTTCCAATTTTTGTTCTTTTATTTCACTCTTCTTTTTAGTAATAAACATCCTCTTCCCATCCCAGCTTTGGAAGGGCACAAGTAGAGAACTTAATTCCCAGCCCCAACTGTAGTTGAGTATGGTCATATGACCACATTCTAACCAATACGATGTGAGCAGAAGTGACAAGCTCGATTTCCTCCTCATATTCTTCAGAAGAAGTGACTTGTCTTCCATTTCTCTCTTCTATCCTTTCTAGGAGCTATAAAGTTATGGCCTGAGCAGTTATGGCAGCAAGGACAGAGACACAAGAGAGAAGAAACCTAGGACCTTGGACAGAGCCACCTGCCTATCCCAAACTATTTGCATCTGCATTGTTAGAAAGAAGACACACAAACTTTTCTCTCCTCTGAGCCTGTCTTAGTCTCTCTGCACTGCTATAACAAAACACCATAAACTGGGAAACTTATAAAGAACAGAATTTTATTTCTCTCAATCCTGGAGGTTAGAAAGTACAGGATCAAGATTCCAGATGATTCAGTGTCTGATAAAGCCTTGTTTTCTCATGGACAGTGCCATCTAGCTGTGTCCTCACATACAGAAGGGGACAATGAGCTCTGTTGGGCCTCTTTTATCTAGGGACTAATTCCATGGGAACTACACCCTCCAGATGTAATTATCTTCTAAAGAACCCACCTCTCTGTACTATCACATTTGGTATTCTGTTTCAACAAGAAGATTTGAGGCGGCACAAGCATTCAGATCACAGCAAAGCCATTGTAATTTTATGTGAATTTGTTGGTCATTACATATAACAGGGCAGTTTAGAGCTCAGTTGCACCATGCTAAAGCTTTGAATACTGGAAGGACTAGAAGAGCAGAGAGGAAAGTAGTTGAAAGAGTTGCTCATAAAGGGATAACACATAGGAGAGAAAGACCAGTGTGTACAAGGACCTCTGTGCAGACCTGGCAAACCTCTTTCAGAAAGATAGAGCCTTTTGTTGCTTGTAGACTTACTCCTTCTCTATCATTGCTTGTAGACCTCCTCCTTCTCTTATTCAAATTAAGGAAGACATACTACTAAATTTCACATCCCTGTCCTGCTCTTTGGTATCTCATTCTTCTTTCCCCATGTTCCTACTTTGACACATGGCATAGAAAACTTCAGGTCCTCTGTTCTGGAGGGAACACTCTGGGAAGGTACCTCCGTCCTTCTCTCTGTCCTTCCGAACTTCTCAAGAAAGGAGAAATAACTGAAGAGTCACATGGCCCAGATGCTTCTTCTCCCCCTGTCTTTGTGATCTGCCTGTTTCTGAGAAGTTCTCACATTCCTCTGCTTCCTCTCCTCCATGCAAATGTACTAGGTTAGGCTTAGAGCCCACGGCCTTTATTCTAGAAGCAAATCTGTTGACCAGGATCTTTCTGAACACCCTTCAAGGCTTATAGCAGACAACATCCATGTCCCCATTACATCCCTTTCACACTTCATATCAATGTCTTCCACTTAAGCTCCAGCTGCCAGTATCTCCATCTCTGAGCCTGAGGGATTTTTGTCCAAAGCACAAAAGTTTCTTCTGTTTTGTGTACTCACATGGAAGCCTGAACGTTAACACTCCCTAGGCGAATTTCCCCACCACTAAATAGTCCCCCTCCCTTGCCTCTTGGGAGAGATAATAATGAAGCATGTGTGTTTCATCCCTTCCTAGATTTTCCCTGTAGGATTGAGACACAATCTCCCACCAGGTGGTTGTTTTATCACTTTACTGGCTCTCTTCTCTTTCCTGTGTTCCCGCCCAAATAAACAACTTGCACTAGAATCTTTTTCCGGTTGAAATCAAAGCCAGATGGGAGGAGTAAGGAAAGCCGAGGTGTTCACCATGTGCCTACTCTCTAGATCTGAACTGTTTCTTAGATGGTC